TTATTTTCTTAAATGTGTATATATATATAGTATTTATAGAGTTTTAGCTTTTAGTTTTAATTACTTTTTCTTATTTCTAAGTCGCTTTGGATAAAAGCGTCTGCTAAATGACTAAAAGTAAAGTAAAAGTAAAGTAAATGGTTGGTAATGGAGGATGCAGCGTGTCCTCTTCTAGACGTCTCAGTGTCTCCAGGAATCTCTGCTTGGGCCGCTTCCTTCGATCTCATTAGAGTTAATATGAATCAAACTATCATCAGACTAAACATATTGTGCTTTTTTTTTTTTAACATGGAGGAACAGGGATTCACTGAAGCTAGAAACTATTGTCAATGTGACAGGCACACAGTCATTCATTACAGATATTGATAAAAGATTTCTAAAACCTAGCCAATGCATTAAGCAGTGAAATGTCAATTACTAGAGTATTACATTGTCTTTACCTGTGTACTTTTTGGATAATTTAGTTTTGCCATACATCATCATCTGCTTTGGAAACAAATAAATTACTTGGTGTAAAAGCATGTTTGACACTGTGAAATGCTTTCATTTTAGAAAGCACTTCAAGTATTTGTATATTTCTAAAATAATGACCATAGTCTTTTTGTATAACATGTCTAAAGGAAACTTGCAAGCTACATAAACATTTCCACATTATTGGAAAAAAGTAATAGTTTTTATTTGTAAAGCAGGTATGCATCTACATCCACTTGGTGTTTATAATCACAAAACATCAGTACTGAAATACTGTAATAATATTCAATGTAAAATGTGCAAGCAGATAATATTATTACTATACTATACTATATTATTACCCACAGACAACAGATATTTATGCTGATGTTTGTGTAACTCTGGGTTCCAGGGCCTTTTCCAAAAATTCCTGAAGGACAAAAAGAGAGAGAACTTAAAGTATATCTACAACCACAATAAACATTAATTACAAACAATGAGCAAAAAAAAAGAAAAAAAAAGGGATGCACCGATTATCTGCACTATCGGCCGACTGTTTAAAACCTGATGATCGGGCCGATTAGATCCAGTCATCAAAAGGGCCAGAAAAATGCCAGACTGCAACTCGTGTGAAGAAATGTTTTCTGTAGGGTTTAGGGCTGTCTAATTATCGCTATAATAACGCATTAATATAATCTGACTTAAAAATATAGCTGTCCACAGGTTCTGTTTAACTCTAATTACTGTGTTAGCGCACACTGCTAGTCTTGTGGTGAAAAATTACTTGTTTGTCTTGTAATCTTCAACAAAGACAAGTTTTAATGAAAACTATTGAGTTATATACAAACATTTCAGTTTTTATTTTCGGGTTTGATTATTATATTGGAAAATAAACAGCAGTTGAATATATTTTGGCCTTTGTTGATAATTTTAACCTCTGATATTCCAGTAATGTACCCAATGAGATGTGTATATATCTAACAGAGTTTCTTGTATAGTTTACAGCATTAGCTGGGAGAGATTGTGTTCCTAAACTCCAATCGGGAGATTTCATTCGGAGTAATCGGCAGAGAAATCTGCTATTGGTGCATCCCTAAAAATGAAAGTCATTGTAATATTTAAGATGGATTACCCTGACAGGATCAGAGAAAGTGTTGCTCAGCGGAGCCGCTTGCCCTCCTTTCAGCTCTCTGTGTTTCAGATATTCATGGGCAAAAGAAATGGCCTCCTCTTCACTATTCAGAGAAAAAAGCACATTGAAAGACACTTTTTGTTAGAAATACAAATTTACTTGGCACTCGAAAGTGAAAATTGTAATTGAAAACATTCAGATGAAACTACAGGTGCGGTATGTATTATCTATCACGGTTTCCTAACGGTTTTAACAGCGTGTGAGCTGACCTTCAGTGTCACAAACCAATCAAACATCTTCAGAGCGCAGGGTTTCACTCGTGATGCTACACCTCTGACACTCACATATGGGGGCAGAAAATGCACCTGATTTTGTCTTTATTTGTATTAGATTATAAAGTTAAACAATATCACACGATACTGGATTAAAATTCTCTGTTGAAACAACTAACCTTGGAGAACTTACTATTATGCTTTTTTGAATATTACTTTTCATGTAGTGTGTAATATGGCTGTTTCTGAAGGAAAAAGGTCTACAGAGCTTTAAAGATCAAAGTGCATGACAAAAAGGGGTTATAATCTCCCAAAAGAAAGAACTGAATCTGAACGGGCTGCAGAGTTTTGGTCCGTGTTGTTGTGATGTCTAGAAAAGCTAAACTAGTTTACATGAGCTCCCAAAGGCTGAGGATGTGAAGAGTCAGTGGTTAAAATTAACTTTTACAGTGACACAGCCGTATAATGCCAGCCTTTCATTGTGTTCCCATCATTGTGCTGACGACTGCCTCTAAAATCTTGTATGTATGAATATATATATACAGTGGGTACGGAAAGTATTCAGACCCCCTTAAATTTTTCACTCTTTGTTATATTGCAGCCATTTGCTAAAATCATTTAAGTTAAATTTTTTTCCTCATTAATGTACACACAGCACCCCATATTGACAGAAAAACACAGAATTGTTGACATTTTTGCAGATTTATTAAAAAAGAAAAACTGAAATATCACATGGTCCTAAGTATTCAGACCCTTTGCTGTGACACTCATATATTTAACTCAGGTGCTGTCCATTTCTTCTGATCATCCTTGAGATGGTTCTACACCTTCATTTGAGTCCAGCTGTGTTTGATTATACTGATTGGACTTGATTAGGAAAGCCACACACCTGTCTATATAAGACCTTCTGAATACTTTCCGTACCCACTGTATATATATATATACACACCTGAGTGTTTAAAAATGCGTGGTAGCAAAGCTATAGCCCGCTGCTAACCGGTTAACTCAGGCTATTGTCTTGAAATCAGCAGTCTGATTGATTGTCTGCGGTCTGAATCAGATTCTGTCATTCTTACTACGAGCATGGAGCAGGATTTTGTGCATACTGTGCCGAGGAAGACTCCGACGCTTAAACTCACGTATGGTCTTGGGCGATTCATTTCTGACACACGCTGTAAGTGGTGGACCAATCACAACAGACTGGGCCATCTGACCAATCAGAGCAGAGCAGGGTGCAACCAGTGCAAGCTTTGAACCTTCATTAATAGTGTGTTTAATGTTATGATACGTGAAAAAAGAGACAAAAATTGTCTGTGATTTTCAGTGTTTTCTTGTAATATTAAAATTTAGTATAAATATTCTGAATTCTGTTGTTCATTGCTGCAGTTCCTAGTGAATTTTGAGTCTGAGAACACTGTCACCTTGTGGCACATTGTACCTGCATTATGTGTTACACATGATAATAGATTCAAACTTAAACAATAGTAATCGTAATTAACAATATTAGGATGCTAAACATAAGTACACTTAGATTCATCAGCTTTTTATCAGTTAATTTCTTTTCATTCACTTATTCAATTTATTACTTACATCTGTACATCTGTTTACAGATTCTCTTTTAATCTTTGACTCTATCTATTGCTTGTTCTTACTGGATTAAATAAGGAAAGGTTTGTGTACAGTGTTGATGTGTTTCCTGTGACTGTGGGCCGCAGAACACAGTAGTACAGAGCAGAGTCTGATACAGCAGCAGAGGAGATCTCCAGATCCACACTTTTATTGTCATGGAGTCTGATGGACATATGTGGATGAGGTTGGTCAGCTCTTGTGACATACTTAGAAGACTCAGCAATCAGCAGCAGAAACTCTGGTTTTGATCCAGGCTTCTGCTGATACCAGTGGAGACTGTAAGCTGATCCATTATACAGTGGGTACGGAAAGTATTCAGACCCCCTTAAATTTTTCAATTGAGCATCTCTGGAGAGACCTAAAAATGGCTGTCCACCAACGTTTACCATCCAACCTGACAGAACTGGAGAGGATCTGCAAGGAGGAATGGCAGAGGATCCCCAAATCCAGGTGTGAAAAACTTGTTGCATCTTTCCCAAAAAGACTCATGGCTGTATTAGATCAAAAGGGTGCTTCTACTAAATACTGAGCAAAGGGTCTGAATACTTAGGACCATGTGATATTTCAGTTTTTCTTTTTTAATAAATCTGCAAAAATGTCAACAATTCTGTGTTTTTCTGTCAATATGGGGTGCTGTGTGTACATTAATGAGGAAAAAAAATTAATTTAAATGATTTTAGCAAATGGCTGCAATATAACAGAGTGAAAAATTTAAGGGGGTCTGAATACTTTCCGTACCCACTGTATATATATATATACACACCTGAGTGTTTAAAAATGCGTGGTAGCAAAGCTATAGCCCGCTGCTAACCGGTTAACTCACGCTATTGTCTTGAAATCAGCAGTCTGATTGATTGTCTGCTGTCTGAATCAGATTCTGTCATTCTTACTACGAGCATGGAGCAGGATTTTGTGCATACTGTGCCGAGGAAGACTCCGACGCTTAAACTCACGTATGGTCTTGGGCGATTCATTTCTGACACACGCTGTAAGTGGTGGACCAATCACAACAGACTGGGCCATCTGACCAATCAGAGCAGAGCAGGTGCAAAAATGAGGGATTCAGAGTTTGGATGTGCATCTCTATAATGAGGCTGATATATAACAGATACATATGAAGCAGCGATGCGATACGATGCGATTCACCTCTGTTACGGTGCAGAGCAATCCGATTTGATTCAACGATGCAATGGAGAAAATATGATCACTTTTAATGCCTCGAGGCCTGTTTCATAAAACAAGTTTACCAGATAAACCAGGCTTATTTCAGTTTGTCTGACTCATTGTCAAATGATTTGGTTCCATAAAGCAAATTTAACACAGGCCTAGATCAAGCTCTGACTCTCTCACATACTATTATTTGACATTTTATTTTAGTTTCTAGCCATGAGCCTTTCTCTCTGGTTTTATTACAGCTGAACCTTTTATAGTTAGCAGAACATTACAATCTAAAATCACCTTTTTAAAGCATTAAAATAACTAAATTAAAAGTTGAAATCACTGAATAAAAATGAAAAATAATTGGTATGAGAATCACACATTAACTAATTTGAGCTTAGTAATTAGTATCTTATATTTGATTTACCCATTACAATAGCCCCTTTACAGTTACTGCTATCATAAAAATACACTTACTGTATATGTAGGTTTAAAATTCTACAAAAGACACATTAATGTCCAACAACAAATATTTTAGCAAAATGTATATTTTACTCAGAATCATTGCGCTTCTATTCTATTGTGCTCCGTCTGTTTAGCGTGCAGCAGCGCTCGTTCACTCCTGACAGCAAAATGGATATGTTTGTGTGAGTTTCTGACATTTACAGATGAAGAATATAACTGTGACGTGTCAGTTATGCACTGAGGAAAACACAACGTCTCAAACGCATTAAACAGCACAGATATATTTGCTGTTTGCGATGGTGGATCGATTTGATCCATGATCGACATTAATTTGTGCACGCTTATTCTTAAGCAGACCTTAGTGAGATTGTGTGAACTTAATTAGTTGTTTATGGAACCGCTTTAGCCCCGATTGATTTGTTAGGTTATTTCAGGTCAGGTTTTGGACTTTATCACAACACTTCGGAGACCCGAGGAAAAGCGGGGATTAGTGACGTCATATTCACGCAGCGGCAGCGGGGATGAGAACGCGCTTGAGAAACAGTTTAGAGAGAAGTCAATAAAATATTGATCACAGATTATTGGTCACTTTCTAAACAATAAAATTATAGCGCATCCACTAGTAATTATATATAAATAAATCGTTTTTTACAGATGCAAATATGTTAGAAACAATGCATTGCGATACAAATGCCAACTTCTAGCCGATGCACACTTTTTAAACCAATGCATCGCATCGTTACTTTTTAATGCCGAAGCACTGAGCGAATCTTCCCATCCCTAATTTAGAGAACGAATCCTTGAACAAACCTTTCAAACACTATGAGAAAAGAGGTGATGCTGCAATGTATATTATGTTTGTTTTTTTTTAGTTGGACGCATGTAAACATTGTAGGAGACCTCCAAAATTAGGAACCTTTAAAATAGCATAATAGGGGCATTTTAATATTACAGTAAAATTGCAGTGTTCATCGTGATACTTCCCAATCTCTCTTTCGAGGTTTATTATATTCCTACTGTACATGATCCCTTACACAACTGTTATGTCTAAATAAATAAATAATAATAATAATAATAATAAATAAATTTGTCTAACGTTATTATGTCTTACTGTTCTGTATTTGATGTTTGGCACACGCATCCTTTCACACACCCATACATAACCACATACATACAAATTAATTCACACATACATGTCAGAATAGAAATATTAGCTCAACATGAAACTCAAATTCATAAGCTGGAACATCCGTGGCGTTAGCTCTCAGACAAAAAAAAAATAAAGTTCTCAACTATTTGGATAATCTACAGGCAGATATATGTTTACTACAAGAAACACACCTTCCAGATTCAAAACAAAACACCCTAAGATCAGCACAATTCACTTATTCATTTTCAGCCCCTTATAATTCAAAACAAAGAGGAGTATGTATCTTGATAGGAAAAAAAATCCAATTTGTTCATAATACAACTATTTCAGACCCAGAAGGACGCTTTATTATCATAAACATATTAATTAACAATAACCCGGTAACAATTGCCAACATTTACGGCCCAAATTCAGATGACCCCTCTTTTT